TATTTATAATCGTTTGGATTATACTGTGGATGGAAAGTAAACATTTATATGAACAGTACTTAGCATTTTTTCTCATATTTTACTTTTATTTTATATTTATAATTGTTTGGATTGTGTTGTAGATAGGAAGTGTAACATTTATATTAACATTATTTTAACTTTTTTTTTCTCACATTTTAGTTTTACTCTATATTTGCTTGGAAAGCAATTATTCTTTACGCCTTCATATAACATTTATATTAACATTACTTTTACAGTTTTATGCCTTCATTGATTTAAATTCAAAATATTTGTATTGATATTGATAGTATGTATTGAGTATTACTCCTTGGTTTGAATGTGGATCTAGTATGATTTATGCCAAATTAAATGGTGAAGAATTAAGCGAAAGGAATCACCACTACACAACACAACAACTACTGATAACGAACGAACATGGTAGGAGGTGCATCTCTTTCATTTGTATGGGGAAATGTTTGACATTCTGAGTTTTATGTACATGTGATTTTTACAAGTTATTAGTCAAAAAAAAAATTGATAAAATAGAAATTTTATTAAACGTATCGCCAACAAACAGAGTACATTCTTGATCATCAGTTGTTAAGTAACACCGTCAGGTTCGAAGACCAGAATTTAAACTCTAAACCAAATGAAAATATACACTGTTAGATGTTAAGTACATTCCTATTGTTGTTGTTGGTTCTGCGGAGTAGATTTCCACTAGGACCATCTTGCATTACATTACACGAACCATTAAAAGTATTTGCAGTGATCATTTCCTCCAATAAATGATCCCTCAACCGTGCCAAAATCAACTTTTAATCCAACAGCACATTCAATTCTCAGCCTATTACTGAAGTGCCTCCTTAGAAAACCTGAGACTCGATAACCGACTGTAGTGGTACTAGATACATTAACCAATCAGAAGGCAACACGTGGCATCATAACCGACCTGAAGAAGCATGACCGACCCGACCTGATATGACATCATCGACCAGAATCATTCGATCTATCAGCTCGACCAGTACTAATATAGAAACGTATCACAATTAGATACTGAGGATATCCGAAGATCA